ATTTTAAAAGTTAACTTTTAAGATCAGTTATTTTATAACCGATCTTAAAAGTCTTGGCTTTGTAAAAATTAAACTGGAACGGGCCGTTCCAAAACTGAAACAGGTTGTTCCAGGTTGTTAAAAAGGCTTAAAATTATAGTTTAGAACGGGCCGTTCTAGCATAATTTGGTATGAGTCAAAACCAATCTAGAACGGGCCGTTCTGGTTGCAGAACGAGCCGTTCTGCTAGTAGAATGGATCGTTCTCCTTGTACTTATAGAAAAAAGGAGGTGTATATATCATGAACCAACTTAGGTTGGGACCTAATCTATATAACAATTGGGCCACGTCGGTTTTGTTCGTCATTATATGTCACATCCTTATAAATATGTCTCCTTTCTCTATTTATTGTTTTTTTTACTAAAAATACTTTTTAATTAATTTCTTATTTTAAATAAATTTTATTTTAAAAATTTTATTTTTTATTTACCTTTTCCTTCTTTCATTATTCTTCGAGTTCATTTTTTTAATCACTCTTTTTTTATTTTATTCTTTTTTACTTTTTGATTCTTGATTTTTCTCTTCGACAATCAATACAATTGTATCTCATTTTTTTACTTTTATTTTTTTTTTTTACTTTTAATTTTGTGATTTTTTAAACTCTAATTTTTCACTTTTGCTTATATTTTTCATTTATAATTTTTGAAGTAATCTATTTAATTTGACTTATACACAACAACTAATTTGACACTTAAATATAAAATAATTTGATGATATTTTTACAAATATGTGTGTTCATAAGGAATATAATCGATTCCAAAAATTTAAGGTATTATGTCGATCTTAGATTTTTTTTCATACTTTTGGAAAAGAAAATTCTAGAAGAGTTTTTTCTTTTATTTCATAAAGTACTTTATAGAATTATGAAAAATATTTTCTTATAAATTTTTTTAGAGTACTAAAATTAATCTTAAAATTCTATGTTTTAGAAGAAAAATCACAATTATAAAATTTTAGTTCGTTTTGAAATTTTGAAAAATAGATAAAAGGGTATGTGTGAAAAAATGGATCCTCTCCATTTTCTAATGCTTCTGAAAAAATCAATAAAATGAAATTGATGAATACTTTAGGAAAAGTCACATTTGTACTTTTAAAACTTTAGTAATGAAAGGAATTGGGAAGAGTATGAGGTAGATTCTTATCTAATGGGGAAGGTACGGTATCCTACTACTCGCCCCCACGGACCTCATTGCCATCCCTAAGCGACATAGAGAGATTTTTGTCTTGATGGTGCCAAGTGCCATTTGAGTAGCACTAGGTACGACGTGCTTGTTGTTGAATTTTTGTTCTATGATGAGTTATAGTTGAATATTGATGATTAAGTTGTTTGTATGTTGAGATATATATATATATATATATAAAATGTTTCATTTTAAAAAAGATGATCCTAATTTAGCATTTTTTGGGTGAGTAATGAGAACTGAGTTGAATAAGTAGTACATGTATAAATTAAAAAATAAAATAAAAAAAATAGACAAAATAATTGCGCTTTTGAACTTTTAGGGGGCAAAAATATGTAGTTGTTGGATTCGGAGCTGTCAAATATCTTATCCGGACCCTCGAACCCATCACACGGGTTTGTGTTGAAAATATGGGCCCAGCTACAGACAAAGACAATCTTCAAAATTGTTCAACCAAATTACATACATGATGACATATACAATATCTAAGTGGCTGACATATT